ATAGAGCCCACACAACACTATAACCAAAATGCAACAACAAACCACTATTTGCAAGTCAACTTCAGCAGCAAGCTTGACAAAAATGCATCAGGTGCAATGTACACTTGGAAGAAAAAAGGCCAAGTGATGCTCCTAATCACACCATGGCAAATGATTTGCAGTTCTCTTTCAGTTATAGCATAAAATACAGTGAAGTTTTTTAATAATACAGTAATAGTACATTGCACCAGATGCATTTCATATGGTGCAATGTGCATCATGAGCATCATGTGCCAAAAGAGGGACTAAATCATTCATTTTCAACTAGCACATTTTTTGACCGTTTTCTGCAGATGGATTACTCTCACAGCCTAATCCTAGGATTCATATGAAGGCAGCAATGAGCAGAAGAGGTAATGCATGTAAAATCTTGAAACCACAAATGTGAAATGAAATTCCAGACTCAGCTGCATTGGAAACATATAATTCATTCTAAAGAAAAACTCAAGAAAAATTATATACACTTTATATTATTTTCAACAAGTGTGTAATTCTAGTGCAGCATTTATTAAAACAGTACCGTAAAATGGGGTAACTTAGACCGGCGGGGTAACTTAGACCACTTTTCGTTTTTTTAACAAAAACCCCCACAACTTAAAAACTATTTGACATAGAAAAATTTTGTCAATGGGCATTAAAGGCCTAATACTGAGGCTACATAACACAATAGAAAGATTTAAAAAGTTTGCATATCTAATAGGTTAAAAAATTAAAAATGTGACACACGAAAAAAAGCAATTATTTAAAGCCTGTCAGAGTACCCCCTCCAATTTTTTTATTTTTTGGTTAAATAACTCCAGGTTTTGATGCATTGTAGTAGTACTCTTCTAGTTACATATGCAAATGACAAATTTTAGGAAAGTGTCATAGTTTGCAAATGGGGGCGCTGCCCCCAAATGGGGTAACTTAGACCACCTAATGTCAGTCCTGACGGGGTAACATAGACCGGCTTGGTAGTTAATATAAAATTACCATATATAACATATTTTATGTTTGACAGCCTATTTATGTTTTTTCTTTAATGAGTGAAGCTAGAGTATAGACCTGTATTTTGCATGTTTCAATTCAAGTTTAATTTAGCTAGTAAAAAAATGGCATCATTTATAAAAAAAAAGTGATCTAAGTTACCCCATTTTACGGTACCAGTAACATATTAGAATAAAAAATTTCTCTGTAATGTTATGTGATCATTTATTGTTTTTGAGTACTAGATAGAAACCAAAATCGAATATTCAAGACTTTCATAAAAACTATTGATAGAAAAAATTCAATACCAGTGGTTTTTGAAAATAATAGGTGAAAATGAGCAACTCTACTAAACATAACCAAGGAAAATTAGGCTACGGCCACGGGCACTGTTGACCCTCTACCGCCTGCCATGAGTAACCAGAGAAATATTGTCACACGCCTTCTTCCCAAAAAGGATACATTTTAGTGAGCACAAAATGACTTGCACTGATGTTTGCCGCCACATACAACTTTAACATGTTCTCTGTTGAGTACAAATGTCATCAGGTTGCTGCACTCAATAGTTTACATATAATTTAAGTTGAAAGCTAAATTTCCAGAGAGTGACATTTGGCAGTCATGAGTTAAATTGTTCATGAGCTTGGCAGTCTCAAGTCAGAACTGTCCAAGTCACTCCAAGCTCATAAACAAAACACTTTTGACTCCAAGGTGGGTCCTGCAGGATTCTTCATTTGATCTATGGTAGTAATCCATAGTATTATGTAAGATAATCTAATAGCAGTTGTTTTTATAAAGACATAGGCCAGGAAATATTGAGCAACTTGGTGTAACTGATATCTCTGATATGAAGTGACTTGAATTGCCACAGCTTTCTACTGAATTATCTTCCATTTGCAGATCAGAAGGCTTTAAACATACTCAAAGAATAAAAATATCTATTGAGTATTGTTGAAAATTATGTGGCATCTTAAATTCATATATGAATCTAACCTTGCACTATCTAAAATAGGCCTAAATAAATTTCTTATCTGACAAGAAACTTGTGTGAGTGTGAGTCATGTCAACTAAGGAGGTAAAAAGTGGCTTATAGCATTAGAAATTAGAATGAATAATTCATATTAGAATGCAACATGTATGCAAGTATTGCATGTTAAAAAAATATTGTAGAATGTAGATGGGCATTAAATTATCACAGTAGAAATGCACTTCCCAGTTTTTCCACAGTAGCTGAGTACCTAGGTATTATCTGCTGCTACTTTTCTTCAAATTTGTTCTAAGGGTATAAAATTTTTCTACCTTCAGCCCAATCTCTTTTCACTGATGCCACAACAATAAGACAACATTGACAGTTGACACTATCAGTAACAGCTTGCACCTTGACACAGACTCACAGTACCTAGGTACTGCTCTTGTTTTTGCGGTAAAATTTTCATCAGATTCACCAAGTAAAATGCCTTGCCTGTCCACAGCTGCAGACCTGCAGTTATTAGCACTAGGTAGGAGTTCTTTGTTACTGGAATTTGGTCATCATTTTTTTGGCTCCATAATTGAATCAAGACTGTTCTCAAACATAATACATGAGATGATGAGAGTATATAGCTAATGCTTACATAGATGATAGAAACAGTCAAATTTACAGGGGGTCTATGACAGAATAATAACTAATTTTACATAATATTATTGGATAATAAAACGGATCAGTTAAAATAAAATACAGTACAAGTTAAGGTACAACAAACAAATGTCCAAGAATCAAATTTAATGAGGACAAACCACCGTTAACCACGCCTTGCATACAACAGTACAACTAATAGTTTGATTTGAGTATGCTTGCAGGCTCAGGCATTAGCCGCCAGTCACACAAGCCTACTCCTACATTGCTACATACTGCTTCTTCTCAATTTCTCATGAAGAGAACTTTGAGGAGAGGACGAAGAAGGGGCGTGTAAGCCAGCGTTCTTGAAAATGAAATCAGACACTTCACACTTGACTTATATACACGAAGTATAAAGAGGAGAAAATTCAGAATCAAGCTGATGAATGTGTAGGCATTTTGAGTATTACGTTAATCACGGAGGATAATTTTTACCTACATACGTTAATGTCGGAGGAACTTCAGTAATCACAGAGCATATTCGTAATTCGTTTCCGGACGGTATGACTATGAACGCCGCTGCGTCTCTAAGTATAACTCTCTATGAAAATTTTGTGAAACTCATTCTAAATACCCTAAAAATTCCAATCTAGTCTTAAAAAGTGAAAATCATGTAACGCGTCAACTGCCTTGAATATTTTTTTGATAAAAAATCTTTGCATAGCGACAATCGTATTTTTCATTATTAATTTAGGCTTACCAGAACACAAAAATATCTAATATACGTTTATCTTTTATGCGACTAAACGTCTCTCATGTGGTGAGGTAGTTGTTTTATGAGGTATTTTATTAGAGTAATGAAAACCGGCAGACCTGCTTCAATCTGGAAGTTAATTTTTATACATAAAAAATAATATTAAGGAAAAAATTAAATTTTGACAACTTTAAACTATTGGATGGATAATATATTTAAATGATTATTTTGATAAGCATATACCCAACGAACTGACTGTCATTAAATCGATCCATCGCCATTGTGTCAATTTTTGGAACAAATTTCCACCTCTCGGACAAAAACGCGGCCTGTCTCACGGCCGTGCCTTAAGAAATTCATCGTACATGGAATATCTTCCAAACTACTGAACCTATCGGGCTCGCCAAGCTCCCGCGTATCCACGTTAGCCGCGTTGCTACGCCATCTTTGTATCACACTGGCGTCTCAGCTTACTCTCTCGTTCGTCGTTCCTACACATTTGGACGTTTTGGTAGCAATGGAGAAAGAAAGAACAAAGCAGAAAGGATTAGGCTGCTATCAAAAACTTCTTCCTTCAGTGAGAGACCGATATTTAGGAAAATTGTGCGACATTAACGATGTTGATTCCAACGAAGTGCCGGCAAAGCCGTGATGTGCAGATTTTGCAAGCCTGCCTCCCGCTTAACACGATGATTTACTAAACTATTTGGTGTTTGGTGGTCAGCCAATAATACACCTTGCAAGAATTTGAGGCATACAAGACGCTTGAAGCTTACAAACAATTTGTGGATGGATGGGTACAGGCGATGGAGAGACGAAACTTCAACGAATCAAGAAAGGCGATGTACTTGGTTCTTGGTAGAGTTAGTTTGGTAGTACAACTGGACGAAGATAATGATGCTGATGAATAGAACCTTCTAAGAATGGAAAATGAAATTCCTTTTCACCTTTTTGAAGAGGAAAAGGATAGAATTTTATCAATGCTTACCAAGTAACCTGGGTTCGGACGGCTCATAGAGTCATAGTAATACCGATCCCAATATTGGACGCGCTCATGTGACACCTCAGACCACAGAACTGACCAACAACACACCATGACACCAATTCACCAGAAACCTCGACGTTTTGTAACACCAATTTATATTGAAATTGAAAGGCAATGTAAAGAACTCGAAATATTCGTCATTCCAATTTGTCATTCATATTACATTTATAGTTTATACTAAACCATGAATAACAATACCTAACTCAATATAAATTAAAGACTGCCACTCAATATATTTAAATATATGAAAAAATCGAAAAAATAAAAAAAAATCATGATTTTTTTATAAAAAAATCAAGTGATTTAATCACTTGATTTAATCATTGCCAACCCTGTCTACAGGCATTCATGCTCTCTACAAACTGAGTACAAAGATTAAATATTAATTAGCCTCTCTAGTGAGTCTCTACTAGAGAGCGAGTCCAAACAGCGTTACTCAAAATTTATTCAAATTTAACAAAGCCTTCGAGTTCACTGACAAGTGAAACAGGTGTGGCGTGGTCGCCTGCCGAAGACCATCTTGTCTTGTCTTCTTTGGTGAGTTATCGGTGTGCTGCGCGTTTCAACGATTCACACCGCAAGCTGTTCTTTGCTGTAACTCAAGGATCAAAGCGGCCGGTTTCACTGATGAACTGCTCCACTTTTCTGCAGATCTGTGGCCAGTCCGGACAGCCGGCCATGTCACCTCCCAGCAGCGAGGCAGAGCTGAGGACCAGTAGGCTCAGCCCGTTCCGCCGCCGCGCCCGGGCCTCCTCATATTCAGTGCATGCGACGAGGTAATGGTGGGTTGTTTCTGGGGCTTGACAAGGAATGCAGAGCGGAGAAGGGGCTTGACGGATCTGGTAAAGGGCTTTGTTTAATGAGGCCGTGCCAAGACGAAGTCGAGCGAAGAGCGTTGCAAAACGACGAGACTGTAGTGTGCGGGACGCCCACGGGTGGACCGATGGTTTAATTGCTCCCAGGGCAAATTGGCCACGGATTGACGTCCACTTTGCCTGCCAGAAATTCCAAACTCCCTTATGGACGATAGACTTTAGCTCGTTAAAATCGAACGGTAAGTCCTCCGCGGGGCGCTCAGATGTTGCTGCTTGCTTGGCGGTTCTGTCCGCTGCCTCATTCCCCTGTATTCCCGAATGACTTGGGACCAACTGGAGGTGCACCGCTCCCCTTGGAAGCTGGAGGCATTTTTTGTGGATGGCGACAGTGAGGTGGGTATAGCTGGAGGGAAAAGGTTGTAGGAGAAGTTGAAGTGATGCTAGGCTGTCTGTGCATATGGTAGCTGGAAGCGTGCGGCTGGATAGTAGGAAGTTCATGGCTTGGAGAATGCCATATAGTTCGGCTGCAATGATTGAGTGGCGGGGATCCAAGCGCCATCCCCGGAATAGGGATAGCGATGGAATTGCCAGTCCAGTGCCCACTGCCTGCGGTGGTCCTGGTGAGAGTGAACCGTCTGTAAAAATAAGGCAGTGTCCTTTGAATCGAGTGTCGCAGATGTCCTTGAGGATCGCTGATGCCGTGCCGTCTGCCTCTCGATAGAGGCAGCTGGAGAAGTCTAGGTGGATCCATTGGGTGAGAGCAGTCCACGGGGGTGTTTCTGCACCAGGTGGCGAGGGCAGGGAAGTGGGCAGGGTTACGTGGTAGCGCTTAAGGATTTCCCGGGCGCGTGATAGGTGGGGCAGCTTGTATGGCTGGGTGCGGAAAGGTGCAATGTGAAGATAACGGTCTCGGCGGTAAAGTTGATGAACTGGGTGGGTAGGAGGGCGGTGTAGAAGCTGGAGGTGAAACAGGGCTGAGCAACGGTTGCGATGAATCTCTGGTGGGAGCAATCCAGCTTCGCAGTACAGGGAAGGCAGTGGAGTGGATTTCCCCGTCCCGACGATCAGTCGTGCCGCCGTGGAGTGTATTACGTCAAGTCGTGAGAGGAGCGTCGGTGATGCTGAGGTGTATATTGAGAGCCCGTAGTCCGTGTAACCCCGTATGTAGTTCTGATAGAAACGGAGTAAGGTCGCGCGTGAGCCCCCAAATTTGGATCCACTAAGCACCCTTAGAATGTTCAGTCTCTTTTGGGAGTGGGTTAGTAGGTGGTTGATGTGAGCCTTCCAGGTTAGGGTTGGAGAATCCAGCGTAAGCCCCAGGAGACGGTGGTGGCGGGCAATTTGGATGGCTGTTCCCGAGATGTGAAGTGCTGGGATGGGATGAATGTTTCGCTTGCGAGTGAAAATTTGGAACGCCGATTTGGCTGGGTTAATGGCTAAGGACCACATCTCCACCCAAGTGACGAACGCGTCGATGGCCTGCTGTAGTCTTGTCCCGGCTTCCATCACCGAGTCCGCCACGACGTACATAGTGACGTCGTCGGCATAGATCGCAGTGTTGACGTTAGGCAGAGCTGGCATGTCGCTGAGGAGGACGTTGAATAGGAGCGGGGAAAGAATGGAGCCCTGAGGTACACCAGAAAGCATCCCATGCGTAGAGGACAAGCATCCCGCAACCGCGACTCGGAAAGAGCGTCACGCCAGGAAAGCTCGTATCCAGCGCAACATACGGCCCTTGATTCCTGATTTCGCTAGTTTGTAAAGAATGCCCGCGTGCGTTGCTCTGTCAAAGGCTCCCTTGAGGTCGAAGTAAACAGCCATCAAAACCTGCCCACTGCGCAGCGCTATCTGAATTTCGTGCTCCAATGGTATCAGTGCATCTATTGTGGATAGGCCGCGGCGGAAACCATCCTGATATGGGAGAAAGCATCCTTGCGACTCTAGGAACCATGAAAGCCTGTCGTGTGCAAGCCTCTCCATGAGCTTCCCCAGGCATGAGAGCAGGCTGATTGGTCGGTACGTGGCAAGCTGTCCCCGGTCCTTCAGGGGCTTTGGGATAGGGATAATAAGTGCTTCCTTCCACTCCCGGGGCAGTTCCGCCAGTCTGAAGGATTGGTTGAAGAGCGCAAGAAGAGCTGAGTAGTGAGTTTTGGGTAGGTGGAACAGAAATGCATTGTGCATTAGGTCTGACCCCGGTGAGGAGCGGGTTTTTAGTCTGCGTATGCCCCGAGAGAGTTCTTCTAGAGTGAACCGACTGTTGTAGGCTGTTTCGTCCTCAGACGCTAGAGCCTTGGGGCCATACTTTCAAAACTCGCTAAGTGATCGTAAGTACTTACGCTCTACTTTCTTGTCTATGATTGGTGGATTTTGCTTGAAAGACCGTCAATGATTGGCTGATGACCTTACGATCTCTTAACTTTTTTTGAAAGTATAGGCCCTGGAGACCACATTCTCCCTTTCCTCGGAGGTCCCGCTGGGGTGCGAAAAGGCGGTGGCAAAGTGCGTTGCAAGGGCTTCTGCAGTTTCTTGTGGGGAAGGTGGCGTGTTATCGATGGTGAGTGATATGGCTGCAGAGGGGAGCCTGCCCGATACCGCTCTAAACATCTTCCAGACCGTGGCGACGGGGGTCTGCGGACCGATATGGGAAAGAAATCTTTTCCACGATTCCTTCTTTGCTTCTTTAATTATTGTCTTTGCGTCTTGCACTGCTGTTGAGTAATTCTTCTTGTTTGAGGGCGTTGGATGACGGTAGAAGAGTTTGCGCGATTTCCTCCTCGCGTGTACCGCCCGGGCACAGTCGGACGACCACCACGGACACCCTGGTCGGTGAGGGCGGGCCGACTGCCTCAGCGGAAAATGGCTCTTACAGTGCTCGATCAGTGCAGTTGAGAAGGCCTGTTGGGATTCATGTGGGGTGTTTCCCCTCGGGATAGATTTCTTTGAGAGTTCTCCCGACCATGCGGTCCACTCTCGGTCGTCATTCATGTGAGGAAGTGACCAGCGTGGGACAGTTTTTACCCTGATTACTTGACGGGGTCCGTATTGCAGCAGTAGTGGTGCGTGGTACTGCCCAGGTCCAGGCTGGGAGAAACTGAGTGTGTGAAGAAGGGGGCCGCCCCAAAGATTAGGTCTAACACTGAGCCCGTGCCCGTGTGTGGGTCGATGCGAGTGGGAGTGCCTGGGGTGTTGAGAAGCATGAGCAATGAATTGCTGATGACATTAAAAAGTGAGCCTCCTGCCCGGTTTTGTCTGGTATTTGGTGTGCTCCAGAGGGGGTGGTGGGCATTGAAGTCCCCGCAGATGAGATCACGGGGCCCGATGTAAGTGAAATAGTGTTCAAATTCAGTTTGTGTGATGGAGCAGCAGGGGTTGTAGCAGAGAAGGATTCTGGACCATGCCCCACAGTGGGCAATTTCCACAGCCAGGCACTGCATCTGGCCCCCCTCATAAGGATCCAAGGCCACGGCTCTCTGTAGCGTTTGGGCTCTCACCAGCAGGAGCAGCCCACCAAAACCGTCTGCTCTGTCCTGCCGGTAGGTCGTACAACCTGGAAAGCGAGGGTCGTGCCAATTTTGTAGGTGGGTTTCAGTGATGCAAATCACGGTGGGAGCCGCATGAGACAGAAACAGCTTTAGTTCGGGCAGTTTAGAGTTGAGCCCCCGGACATTCCAGAGGAGAAGGGAGTGTAGCTGCATTATGATGATAAGAATTGGCTAGTCAGTGAGGCTAAGAGAGGCTGTATTGCTGCTGCTAGTGGGTTGTCCAGAGAGGTTAGGTATTCCGTTAGAGCCTGCATACAACGTGCAAATAGGGATTTGAAGAAGTTTGCAATTAGGTCCAGAAAGGTGGGTTCTTGTACATGTTCCTCTGGCGGGTTTGTTGCTGGGTGTGGCGAGAGATTTTACGATAGCTGGGATAGGGCAGGGAGAGGATCCTGAGATTCCGACCAAGCTTCCCCTCTCAAGATTCTTAGGCATTCCTCCGTCATATGCGGGGGGGGTGGGCGAGCCTGGGTTTTTTCTCTTTCGTGAGGGGACGTCTGGGAGGGGGGTGCGCTGCCCTGGGGTCAGCGGCGTTTGGGCATACGAGGAAGACCTTGAAATGACTGCAGCAGTTGTGCGAGTTGGTGCGGAATTTGCTAGGTTTGCCTTAGATTGGGCTTCAGGAGTTGCCACTGGAGTGGGACTGTAATGGTTTTCGTTCGTTCTGTTTGATGGACTGGGCGTAAAGTTGCTGGGTAGATAGAGAGATGCGTATTCCTTTGCCGCTTGCTCCCGTGTGATCTGTCTTGCTGCTACTCGGGTAGAAATTTCCTGAGCCTTACTGTAGAAGGGACAGCGAGGAGATGATGCTGGGTGAGGGCCCTTGCATGAAGCGCATCTTGGACTGTCAGCCTTACAGTTCTGTACAACATGATCGGTTGCTGAGCATCGGGCACAGACTACTCGTCTTCTACACGATATGGAGCCATGACCATACCTCTGGCAGCCGTAGCAGCGGGGCGGAGGCGCGAGGTAGGAGTGGACCGTGAGTGAGACGTTATGGAGGAATATTTTGTCTGGCACCGCAGTGAACATTCAATAGCAATCCGCATTGATAGAAAAGGGCTGTTTTGGGGGTCTACCACAACGTGGCTTGGATATAACTTTTTTACTGATAGGATTCTATTCGCATTTTGGCTAGATGGCAAGGAGAGCTGAGCCTTTAATTCTTCCGGCGAGAATCATAGAAGTGACTTGTCTTCCATGTCCGTTAAATCGAACACGACTTCTCCTTGATATGGCGATGGGGCTTTAGGTATGCGCAGAATGTATTTTATTCCACCTTGTTCGTGGACTGATAGCTCTGGGTTGGCCAGACGCTCTGCATTGGCGGCAGATGTCTTACCTGTGATCAGTGTGCCTTTGGCATTACGGTGAAGGCTGTCCGGTCCCAGGAGTTGCAGAGCAGGCCAGTTTGTGGAAATTTGGGCGTAGAAATTGAAAGGCAGAGCTTTCTTGTCCTCTCTTAACAGAAGGCAGGTGACACAGTCAGGCTTTTCTACTGTTGCGTGTCGTTGCAGGTTGCTAGTTGGTAATGGTTCGGTTGAGTAGATGGTTTTGGAGTGTAGTCTTGGCTTCTTGGTTTTTGCAGGTCTTCCGATCACCGGCGAGTCTGAGGGGAAGCCGTCGAATTCTGCTAAATCGGAGATGTTTTCGCTAAAAGGGTCTACTGACATTCCTGATGAAGACTCAGCCATATTTTTCAGCCGCTTACACTGAACTACCTAAACGGAAAAGATTTTCGGGTAAGCACGATAGCACAGACACAGACACGTGTTTCTTCCACCACCTCAAGATTGAAACTCCCGAAGACCATTACCACTGCCCCGGATGTAATGGACCATCATGATTCCTGGCTTCCTGCCCTTCGGAACGTAGCCTCCAACACTTCAAGCCGTCCGTATCTAGGCGGACAAGGCCGTGAGTCGAACCAGACCTCGGTCAAACGGCCACTTGCCGAAGGACGATAATTTTTGAAACAGAACTATGCTATCTGCTGAAACCTAACTTTAGATGCGGTAAACGTAAAATTACGTAATTTAACGATGCCCGGAAGTCAAATTCGATACGCGGCCTGGTGGAGCACGGCAGGTTCTATGCAAGTCTGGAGGAAGACAAAGCCGAGTGGTTCACGGCTGATTGGTGGATGTCCGGAGAGATCCAAGGCGTTTGATTCAGGGCTTATTGGTGCCCAAAATTGGTGGTGCACGGCTGCGCCCCTGTGGCGTTAGTTGCCATAGTGAATGACCAGCGTATACACTATACAGCCAACCTTGCTAGACCACAGACAGCAGTCCACTGAATGTGGCGCTTGTGTTGCATGAGGCAGGGCGCCTGTGAATCGCTGGCTCGTCAATCGCTTCGTTGCCCACAAGTAGCGTACGTAGAGGGGCGGTGAGGTGCTTTACGCCCGTGTGTTGCCCCTACTGAGACCGGGCCTTAAGAAGTTAAGACGTCTACAGAATCGAAGCGCGGACGGACGGAACACACTGCTGGTAGCACGGGAAGGATAAATTTACGGCCGGAATGGCGGCCGGTCTCAACATGGTTGAATTAATACATGGGTCTCACGGCCAATCTCCAAATTTAATGACCAATGAATATCTCCCAAGGTAATAAACGTAGCTCGAATAAACTTGGTACACGTATTCATTAGGACCTAAAGGTGATGTTTAGCTCCTGAAAAAAAATTTCCATTTCACCTTCATTCGTGAGTTATATAGCAATTTGGGCCAAAATTTGCAGTGCCCAAGAAATTTTTTATAAACTACTGAACAGATTTGACCGAAAATTTGAAAATACATTCTTAAGTTCCCAAAAGTGATATTTAACTAGTGGCAATTTTTTTCAATTTTGTCTTCTTTCGCGAGTTATACGGATATAGGGAGAAACGACCGGCATTTCTGAGGCCGATTTTTAAATCTGCATTGACAAGGAGCCGTATCCGTATGGCCGTATAACTCGCAAACATAGGCAAAATCGAAAAAAAAATTGTCACGAGCTAAACCTGAGCGTTGAGAGGTTCGGTTTGTATATTCAAAGTTCATTCAAATCTGTCCAGTAGTTTAGAATAAATTTCTCGGTCACTGCAAATTTTGGCCCCAA